GACTCGCTGAGAACAGGTTCCGCACCCACTCGGGCAGGGCACTGTGGAAAGGGTTCCCACACAGCAAGGGAAGCTGGACTGCAGGGTTTCTAAAGTCAGTTAAGATTCTAAGGCAAAAAAAGCAGCTCTGAGCTCACCAAACCTACAGCAACACTTTGTCTCTGAAAATGTCCTCTGTTATCAGTGAAAACACTCCTTTCTACAATATTACAGACTCTGCTCAGATACCATCGTCTAGCTATACCTTTCAGAACTAACTTGACTTTGACTTCAGCATGCTGGGTACCCTCCCTATGCTCTTCCAGGTCCTCCACCCAACCTTTTCCATCTCTGCTATGTATGTGCCTCACTGGGCTCCCTTATTTTCTGGTTTCCAGTTGGGTTTGACCAATGACAGGCTTTGGCAGGAGATCAGAGGGTGGGGAAAAAAGAGAATCTGAGGTATTTATTCCTTGATTCCCTTCCTTCTAGGCCACTGGTTGGCAGTGGTTACACTCCGACAGGTTGCCCTCTCCTACAGCTAAGCTCTCCCAAGGTTCCAGAAACCAGTCCCCCTCCTGGCTGGCTCCTTCAGGCCTCAGAGTAATAATGGCTCTAGTCCTGAGTTATTTCATCATCCCCTATTGGTCTTCCCTAACCCTGCCCAGCTCTGAGAAAGCGCCTGCATCTGCTCCATCATACTGTAGGGCTGTGTCAGAAGATAAACTATTCTGCCTTCCCACATGGGTCCTGTTGCCCCTTTCCCCCACAGCATGGTTTCTCTCTCAGGAACTGAGTTCTGTGTGTTTCCACACACGGACTGACTCACTACAAACCAGTTCCCTATGGGAATTTCTCAATCCCAGGCTGACTCCCAATTCTGCTGCAATGTGTACAAACTGTATGCAACGTTAAGTTGGACACAGCCTAATTAAGAAGATGACTGTTACTAAAAAGGCCCAACACACAGACTGCAATGCCAAGCCCAATACTGGGACTTGAGGTTCATCTATTTATAATTCCCCCTTGCTTTAGACTAACGGCTGCATAAATTATCACACTTGTTAATACAGTTTTGCTTTATTTAATAAAGGTTCAAACACTGCCCAATACAGTCCTCATCCTACAAAGGCCATTCAAACTGCCACCAAAACTTTAAACAGCCCGCCAGTCCCAATCAGTTTTCCCTTTCTTCCAGACAATCCTATGACTAAGACACCAGAGCAGATATGAGCTTTTCGTGTTGATCTTTCAGTGTATTGCTTAAATCCCAATTGAGATCCAGAAAGAAGGCATCTCTGAAAAAGATTCAAGGGTTAAAGATAAGGCTGAGACCTGGAGAGATCCGTTTTGGAGCCTGAAAGAACTGAGACGGGCTTGCCGTCTGCGAATTAAGAAGAGTGCTACAGAAAAGGCTGCGGAGAAAAACACTGCAGAATTTCCTCTACTGCAGAGGACCGTGCTGTGCCTTCTCCAGGATACAGTCCCAATAGCAGGGCTGGATCTACTGCGCAAAATAACCCGAAGGAACACTAGGGCCGACCCGTCAAACTCCAAGAAGAGACTCATTCTGCCTGGGATGACCCACAGGGATGCCTGGGCTACGGAGACTGCTGTCTGCGTGAAGAACCCTAGACCTGGGCACCACTGACATGTCAGGCCAGATAATTCTTGGTTGTGGGAAACTGTGTGCACTGTCGGATGACCCCTCGCACTCCTCAAGTGTGGCCACCAAAAATGTCTCCAGAGACTGACACATGATCCTGGAGAGCAAACCCACTCTGGGCCCTAGATAAACAACTTTCAGGAAAACCCCAACCAGCACTACCATGGAACAAATGTAACCTTGATATCCATCTGCATGGGAAGAGAGAAAAGCCACCTAAGGGACACATGAGTTTGTAAAACAGACTGAGCTAATTCTTAAAACCTACAGGTATTTAACAACTTGGAACCCTAGTTTAGGGAAGGAGGAATAATTGCCAGAGTGAGGAAAAATTGCTCAAATGTTGCCTGACTTGAATTCCCCCAGAAAGCATCACCATTCTCAGATGAACACACTCATTTTATTCTGAGATACAGGTGGGAAGTGTTACAGCCCGTGACACACCATACACAGGGGTGTCAAACTCATTTTCACTGGGGACCCCATCAGCCTCGTGGTTGCCTTCAAAGGGCCGAATGTAACTTCAGGACTGTATAAATGTAACTACTCCTTACTTGGGGCAAGGAGCTCGGCACTGCCCCCGGGTGGAAACAAGGTGGAGGGCTGGATTCGGCCCACAGGCCTTGTGTTTGCCACCTGTGCCCTACAGGCACAAATGGAAAAAGGCAGGCAAACCACCCTAATCAAATGAGGGCGAAATTAAGGACAACAATGCACTAAAGGCTGACAGCCCAAGCTCTTCATTCTGGGATACAGGGTTTGACGTTCACAGACTCCAGCTGACCTTCCAGTTTCATTACCATAGTATACTGTCCACACAAGGGGTTTGCAACCGTGTCAAACCCAATGCCCTCTTCTTATAACGGATATTTTATAATGCCGCTTTAGTATTCTAAAGTGAAATTCGAAGATTATAATATTTTACTTATAAGCATAACTTCACAATGCCCTAACTGCAATGTAAAAGAAAATAAACAGGAATATTTGTGTAATAAAACATGTATTTTCAGACAAGACTATACTAGAAGACAGACACACACACAGGCAGACACACACACTCATATATTTCCAAAGTGCTCCCCCCCAGGGAGGAGCTATCCCACCCCCACTGCTCCACACAAGCCCTCTCCTATCAGTCACAAAGTTCAACAACCTCGGCCCCTTATGGAGAATATGGCCCAGAGGCAGCATCACAAAGTTAGCAAGAGGGAGGGATTTCAAATCAGATCAACTGTGGCTGAAACGTGGCTCCATCACTCCACTGCTGTGGTAACCTAGCAGAGTCTGGGTTTCCACTGTAAAAGGAAGATGCAAGCGTATTTTCCAAAGGGTTTCTGTGAACATTAAGTGACTATGTAGAGCATCTATTTCTCTACATAACATGTAACACGTGCTTAACAGATACTAGCTGTTGGACTACGTTACTATTCCTGAATCCACCCTGTGCTGTGTCTCAGCTTATGCCCATCTTACCCACCCCACAGCAGAAATAACGCATGACTGGAGACCCATTTATCAGAGACCCAACAATGGATCCATGCATAAAATAAGAAGCTGCATCATATGACTCTATGACTGTTTCTGAGTTTCTCTAATATGCTGCCCTCCACTGAGGTTATTTTTATGAACTGGGATCCCTTCTTCTCAGTTAGAGGGTCAAGAATATGTCTTACACGTCATATAAAGTACCTTGAACTCAGTTCCTAACAGTTTAGTGCACCCACTGAAAACCCACCCCTGGCTGTTGGTTCTATGCATTTTAGCTTCAAATAGCCCAGTGGAGATAAGGAAGGAACGCCAACTTTTCCAGGGAAAGCCCCTCAACCACTGTGGTCTCTTCAGAGAGGGAGGGTCCTCAGGGCCAGTCCTTATCCCTGCAGATTAACTCCTTCCACCAACAGGCAGAGCAACAGCGCTAAGCATTCTAGATTATACGATGAGAAAGTAAAAAGCAGTGGCAAACGCGACAGAATTACTTCAAAACAAAACGAATGCCGTAGTATTTGGAATAAAAGCAACCACTGCTCAGATTAAGGGAACACAATGGCCCAAGAAGTAGCACGCACATCTCTGGTCAAGGGATTAGATCCTACTTACAGACAGGCATCTTCATTTGTATAAACATAATGAGGAAAAGTGGAATTGTCAATTGTTACATATCATTCTCTACAAAGCGATGCCACCAGTGGCTATCTCCGAGTAGTGGAATTCTGGGGGGTTTCTTCCCTTTGCTTATTTATAATTTCCATTTTTTCCTAACATATCGCTCTTATAATAAGCATTTAAAATTACATAAAGCTATTTATTACCTACTGACAATGTATGAAACTTCAGGCAAGAAACTATTTCTGGTGAAATGTTCAGAATCTGTGGGTAAAACAAGTATTTATATCTCTCAAAGCATCTTGGCTCCCAGCCTCAAATCAGAACTAATACAACTTAGTTCCCCTCATTTTCTCTGGCAGAGCTGACAGGTTTTGCTGCTACAGGAAGTCAGCACCCGGTACTAGAAAACCTCACTACTGGTTTTTGCCAATTTCCCAGGGGATAGCTACCAACTGTCTGGAATAGTGAGATAAAGAGAAGAAAGGAATTGTTTCTAAATCCATGTTTTTGCCCAAGGAGACACTGGACTCAGTGAAGTGACTTATAAAAATTAAATGCACACACTTTTTCTATATAGCTATTTCAAAGTCCAGTTTTCCCCATAATTCTCCTACTAAGAAGCCTCTATGGAATCATGAAGGTCCCAAGAACAAAATGTCATTTTGGTAAACACTCCCGCGGCAATGCTACTCTCCCTGCTCAGTGAGAAAACAGCACAGAAAGACCTCAGGAGGAGAGGAAAATGCCGCCTCTACCAAAGCAGCTATATTCCTCAGCCCAACCAAACACTTAAATTCAAACTAATTCAATTCTACAAGCATTTGTGAAGCACTTACAATTACAGAGTACCATGATAGGAGTTTATTCATGTCTATATAAACAAGTCATGTCTGCCTTCCTGGGGATCACAACTCTACTCTGGGAGGCAAACACTTCTAAACTGCAATATATGGCAGACTCAGGTAAAGTAGAACAGAAGTTTTAAAACTGCCCTGGTAATACAGGAAGGGAGAGATTAAACCGTAAGAATCTTGAAAAAGATTCTTCTTCATGTATATTAAATAGTCACATTTAATTCAGTTGTTTCTCCATCTTAATCGTTAAGCCCAAAATAAAGGTGGCAGAAACGCTCAGCTACCAACAGCAAGCATCAGGGTTGTGAAATCTACACACTAAGATCCCTTGGACTAAAAATAAAACTTAATGGACAAGTGCCTTACAACGAGGAGGATGTTGGGAAAAGACTCACCAGCATCAGAAGGTCCATACTCGGCATCGTCCTCTTCCAGCCGCACTTTCAGGGCCTCCCCCCTGCGAAAGGGAACCAGATCTGTTTACTTCTAAAGCTTTTAACTATCGCGTCGACCCGCCAAGATTAGCTGGAGCAGACAAGAAATGGTTCTCTCCCTCCTTTGAGAGCTCGGGTTTCACTCCCAGATATCACACTCCACCCCCAGCTCCCCAAAGCAGCGAATCAGAACCCTGCTGGCACTAGGCTTCCCTCCGACAGCTGACCAAACGAATCCAGACCCAGCCTCCCACAAAGCAGTGCCCCCAGGTAGGTACCAGGGGCACCGCCCAGCCCGCCCCGACCATGGCCCGGAAACCCCGAACCCAGCCCATTCAACCTAACCCCGCGGAGAATCGGACGCTAAAAGGCAGCCCAGTCCCTGGGTCCAGCTGCCACTGAACTCTCTTTATGAACAGCTGGCTTCGCTCTCTACATGCCTCCCTCCCCAGAACCCTTTACTCTCCCAGGAAGATCAAGTCTTCCAGCCCTAGTAGTCCGCGGGAGTGAAGTTTCAGATACCGCTCCCTCCCGGCCCTGGCATCCTCTCCCACTCGCTCTCGAACCTTGCACTCACTCAGACCTCGGGGGCAGACGCGCCCCCTTATGCCCTAAGCCGAGCCCGCCCTCAGGGGCTAGCCCTCAGTCCCCGCGGGTCGTTCCTCCTCTCCTTACCCCTCGAACCCCCTACCCTCCGAGTCTGGACCCTACTCGCCTCCCCCAAGCCAGGACCCGCCTCCCATCCGTCCCGACCGAAGCCTTCCTCCCCAAACTATCCTCCCTCCTGCGGAGCCGGGCGGACCCCGATGGACCCCCTCCATCTCCTCAGCCCGGAACCAGCTTCCCTGCTCCTTCCCTCGGACACCCTCGCCCGCGAGGGTCCTCTTCTCCACACCACTGACTCTGTAGTAGCTGGGTGCGGGCTCCCCCTGCGGCCGCCGCCGCCGAGATTAGAGGCCGGGCCGCAAGCCGCCCCGCCCCTCCTCGCCCGGAAATGGCTCCTCGGCCGGCGTGCGCGGCCCCGCTGCCCGCCGGGCGCACGCCTCCCTCGGGATCTACCGTGCGTGCGCGTCGCCTGAGGACCCGCCCGGCTGGCACCCTGGCCCTACCTCCCCAGTGGGTCAGCAACCTCTTCTTCAGGCTGCCTTTTTAAAAAACCAAAGGGCACTTGTAGCTTTTGAGACAGTTGGCCTGCCGAGTACTACAAACTGATCGAAATAAACGATCCAAAATGGGATTCTAAAGGGGCCTTTGAAGTTGTCCCTTGTTTTACCTGGGCACTTCCACAGAGGTCAGTGACAAAGGGACATGAAAACTCACTTAATGCAAATACTATTCCCTTCCTCCCCTCCCCCTACAGAAATGGAGAACAGAGACTACAGCTCTTGGGAGAGGAAGAAACTTTCCTCAATTCTCAAGGTACTTTCCACTGCTCTAATCAGAGGTGAAACAGCCCTGGCAGGGTATTCAGCTGGTTAGAACGTGTCTCCATAGGTCAAGGTTGCGGGTTCTAGATCCCCAGTCAGGGCACTTACAAGAATCAACCAATGAACATATGAATAAGTCAAATACCAAAATCAATGTTTCTTTCTCTTCCCCTTTCTCGCTCTCCCTCTAAAGTCAGGCAATCAATAAAATAGACATGAGTCAGATTAGCAAGAAAAATGACTAAATGTAATTACATACCTGTGGGTGGGAGCCCCACATGAGACCCCCACCATGCGTGAGAAGTTATGGGGCAGAAGGGGAAAATGAGGTATTATATGACATTCTGAGCACAGAATAAGGTATTCAGAAGGTAATTTCAGAGAAGAGCACATGTTCAGTGATTAGTAGTTTGCCCTGCCACATAGATAGGTCATAAAATGTTATTTGTGGTGATAACTCTTATCACGGGCCAGGTCCCTAATTTAAATTCTTCTAGATAGTAAAGGAGAGAAGTGGGAGGGACAGATATTTCAATTGAGCCCGCAGGATCTCAGTTGCTTTTAGCTCAAAATAGTCCTCATACCACAGAGGCACATCTTGAGGTGTCCTGAACTCTACAAGTGTCGGGCAAAAATGACACCAATACTACTTAATTTTTGTGAGCAATGTTGGGAGCCATCTAATATTTAAAGGACCATGCCCCAGGATCACAAAGGTCGCCCTTCATTTCCAGATGAAATAACTAAATCTCAAATAAGTTTTTCACAACTTGCCCATGTGGTCATGACAGTAATTCAGCAGAAGCAGAAGGCAGCATGTTACATGTCAGTTACATGTCACTGGCCAGTGATCTGCATTCTATATTTTTTCAACAGACTTTTCTTAAATGACACCAAGAAGGTATCTTGGAATCTTAATAAAAATGATACTAACGGGGGCACCAATTCCACCCCCTTGCAAAATGTCCAGACCCAGCCAATTCAGGGTGTCATCATCACCAGCATTACTACCCTTATCTAGGATGCAACTCCTGTTGTCACAGCTGCCCTCCTCTGCACAGCCACTCACTCAGTACTTTCCAATTTCCCATAGAACGGTTAAGACCCCGAAGGAGTCAAGCAGTTTATCTCTGGGCTTCCTCATGTTCACCCCCAGCCCATCAAAACTCTCAGACATCTCTATCATCCGAGCCCCTGAGTCAGGTGCTGACATTCCATGTTCTTACCCCTCCTGCCTCCTGCCTCCCTAGACGAGCATTCTCAGGGCTGAAGGGTCAGAGAATGTTCTGGGGCCTCCTGCCAACTTCTCAGGAGTCGCTTTTCAATTCCAGGCATGTCCTCCCCACTCACCATCCCCACCCCTCTGCTTTCTTCCTTTTCCAGATCCAAGGATCTGCTCTCCCTAGTCTCCTCCTTGCCTGCCACCATGTGTCCTCTCAGCTACAATCTCTGTGCCAGCTGATGAGGGGGCAGGGTCCGCATCTGCTTCCTCTCTACACCTCTGCAGTACCACTTCACTGGTCCTAACACATGGTAGACAGTCTGTTGATTCTTCCCAGATGAGCAAACCAATTCGACCATAGTGACTAATCCTTACTGTTATGAACAGAATATTTGTTTCCCCCCAAAATGTATATGTTGAGGCCCTAAGCTCCTATATGATAGTGGGGCTTTCGAAAAATAATTGGGGTTAGATGAAGTCATGAAGATAGTGCTCCCGTGGTAAAAATAGGATCTTACAAAAAAAGGAAGAGACACCAGAGTGTCCCCTCTCCCTCCCCTCCCCTCCCGTCCCCTCCCCTCCCTCCCCCTCTGCACTCACAGAGGAGGTCATGTGAGCACACAATGAAATGGTTGCCCTTTGCAAGCTAGGAAGAGGACCCTTACAAAAAACAAATCTTCCAGCATCTTGATCTGGGACTTCCCAGCCTGCAGAATTGAGATAAATAAATGCCTGTTGTTTAAGCCACTCAGTCCATGGTACTTTATTATAGCAGGCCAAGCTGACTAAGATATTTACTTTGCCAAGAACTATGCCAGGCACCTTTACATCTAAGGCCCTATTTATGTCCTAACTTGCCCAGGTGACTCTCATCATTACTCAACAGGTAAACATAGCAAGGGCCCAGAGAAGGTAAATAAATGATCATCCCAAAGACACACAGCAGGAAGGGGTAGACTTAGGATAAAAAATCTTCTTTGGATTCTGTTCAGGGGACCTAAAATATACTTGTTGATTAATTAGAATCAAAGGATGTTTAAAACAGAGGGACCTTCAGCTATTTACCAGCTCAACCACATGGTATATACATAAAGCAGCCAAGGCCCAGAGAGGAACATGACTCCTGACGGTTCCTGGCGGAACCCAGAGGCCATGTGTGTGAATGTATGTGCATGTATGCATGTATGTGCCGGTCATCAGACCACTCTGCTCCTCCAGCCCACACTCCCTCTGACTGCAGAGGAACATCAGGATTTACAAGAGAAGCAGCCAGATATAAAGGATACCTGAGGATTAAGTTGAGAAAAGTTCAGCCTTCACAGGGAATGGAACAAAATCCCCACTGACTGTGTCTCACATGGCCTGGCTGTATCAGTGAGTCCTTGGGAGAAAGCAAGAGAGAAAAGAGCAAAGGGGATATAAATAAAAGACATAATTATAATTCAGAGAGAAGAGGAATATTGAAAAGCAAGAAGTGTTGGCCAAGGAGCAGGCATATGATGAAACATCCTTCCCCTCTCCCTTCAGACACTCACAGCGGCAGCTTCGGGAGTCCTATGAAGAAGGGGCTTAGCTGGCTGAAGGCAGGCAGAGGTGGGGCCACCCGGGGTCTCCATTGTCAGAGTGTGGTTTCCCTGGTGAGCAGCACCTAGGAGCTTCTTAGGAATATGGGGCCTTGGAGCCCCATTCCAGACCTCCAGAACCTGAGTCTGCATTTTAACAAGATCTCGAGGTAACATACGTGCACCTTAAAGTCTGAGCAGCACTTCCCTGGACAGCCTGCTTGTGGAGAAAGTAATGTGTGTTTATCAAGAGTGCATGTTGAGTTGAAATTATTTAAATTGGTCAGTGATGAAAAAATGGGGGTTGAGGAGGAGAACTAAAGCCCCCAGGTTGGTCTTTGGTGCCCCCATGGTGCCTTCAGAAAAACAAAAGATTGTGAGGGGTCTGAATCCCTTGGGGAATCAGTGAGGGACCGAAATCCCTGCTGAAGACAGAGGGCATGGGCGCAGGAGGGGAGTGGGGGAGAAGATGGTCTGGGATTTTTCCCCCCATTTGGTTTTTTTAACTTATCATGAAAGACCTCACTGCAGTAGTTAGTTGTGTCTACCGATTGGTTAAACAATCGGTGCCAGCAATTCTGGTTCTGCTTATAATGGCAGTTGCTAGGGCCGAATTATGATACCCCTCCCCACCTACAAGAGCACACACACCCACTCTAAGAAGGCAGAGCACACTGCCCATACTTCCATTCCTGTCCCTGACATCCCCATTCAACCGGGAATCTTCCTGAGAGTTCATCTCAAGACAGGGCTATAGACAGATCTTAATGGGTGTGCAGCTTCTGAATCCCTCCTAGAAAGGAATGGCCCACAGGAAAGTCCCCTGCTGGACCCATAGAGGCTAGAATGCCCTGCCCAACGGGGCAGGAAACCGGCCAACGCAAGCAGGCTGGGCTGATCACAATGGAACTGGCAACCAGGGAAAGGAGCAGCTCAGGGCCAGCCAGTGGTGGGAGTACCCACAGCCAAGAGTGTGTGTCCTGACGTCGCCACCTGGGATGCACAGCAAGATCCAGTGAGTCACAGGGCTGCATGTC